TCATATATAAGTTATGGCTCTGCGAAGCTTTATGAAATAGATTATGCCATCTGCTAACTGCTCTGTTTTGTACTCTTTCTCAGAAGAAGAGTGTAACATGGACTGCTACTGGGTTTCTGAAGTATAGATGAATTGATTGGAGTTAAATCTGGAAAATCTTTCCTATGCGTTAACTGAGGTCTTGGGCCTCCTCAGGTATGCTGTATCACTTGTGTTGGTTAAACTGCTGGGGGGTGGGGGTGGGGAGAGGCATGCATTCCTCCCTCCAGGAATGTTAGCCATAGAAGAGAGCTCTGTATATTTTGGGTTCTGATCTGTCATACTGTACATCAGAGGTTGCTGAAAACCTTTGTGCTGTGATATATACGGGTAGTTGATCTCACCGGAAGCATTCTCTTTCCATCCTCTTCCTTGCTTCGGATGGACTCTCTGTTGCAGGATAGGCACTTTCCTAGCAATCAGCAGAATTTCTTGGCTAGAGGACGAATCCAGTACCAAAGTTTGTTTCTGGAGTTATTGATGATGGGCAAAGTACATTCTTCAGGATATTGCTGGACTGCAATTCACCGCATGCCTCAAACAGGAGCTCTTAATCTTCCCCCACCCACATCCCGCCAATCCATCAGGGCTAGATACTGAGCTATGAACACAGATTTATAGAAGTGCTACTTCAGTACTCAGTAAGTCTTACTTGAACCCTGCCCCATCCTCAGATAGAGACTTTTCCAAGCAAGGAAATCCTCTTGTTGTTGAGACAAGGGAGCAACCCTGACCTGGCTGTTTTTACACAGAATCAGACCTGACCCTGTAATGATTGCTGTGATCTATTGGGGTTTTTTTTTGTTCTGACTAGTGACTTTGTAAAATCCTGGTCTGTCTATACCCTGGTGATGCATAGGATGAATACATCCCTAAAACAGATATTTTTAGCCTTTGGCCCTCCAGATTTTTCAACTTCAGCTTCCAGAAACCCCAGCCAGTATAAGCAGTGGTTAAGGATTTGGGGACTTGAGCTCTAAGCAGAGAATTATGGGCCTATAAAGCCACAGAGTCCAACCCTCCTGCTCTACGCAGGAATCCAAATCCAAGTGCATCTGACAGATGATTGTCTAGTTTTTTCCCAAATGCCCCAGTGTTGGAGCACTCAGATCATCATCAGAAGAGCTTAGCACTGAGATTCATCAGCTGGAACTTTCCCCATGCACCATGTTTAGAAGATGCCAAAGGTCAAAGTCATGGCCTTTGCTATAAGCATTGGCTAGTCCTCAAAAATAATACATAAAAACAAAATGTACAGAACTGCATACAAAGGCAATTTCAGTGATTCTTGATTAAAACGGTTGTGCAGTGCAATGACCCACGTTTGCTGAGCTTGTGTCCTGATGACATCATCATAGGCATCCTTCAGTCTCGAGAGACTATGGTAACATGCTCTGCATCTAGAAGTGTCCTCTCTAGAGCATGAAGCCTGGGTAAAGTAGTATGGAGGATAGGCTGTTACCCAAGTAGCAAATCCCCCCTCTCTACATTGCTGAAATGGTCCAATGGAAAGGCAAGAGCCAATACAACTGGTTCCAGCAACATCGCAGGAGTTGGCAGAACGACACGAACTGCCTTCGGTACTCCAGCTCCGGATTTTGCCTCTAGGTTAACTCCTGAAGCCTTTTCCATGAGTGGATATAGCCACAAGGCAGTGGAGGTTTGAAATTGGAGTTTTCCTTCACCTGATGACAACTTTAAAAAGAACTCCCCACCTAGGCACCAGCATTCCAAATCCTAGGACATCTCCCCTTCTGCCAATGTCTTCCTTTCACTTTATTCCCACTGCTTTTTCTTCTGTCCCAGAGAATAAGCAATGAGAAGAACAAGGAGGAAGCAGAACTTCAGAAGCATTTGTTTAAAATGGTTTGCCCCCATGTAGTTTATATTTTCTGTGACAAATTTAAGCTTCATTAGTTGAACCATGGTAATAGTAATTTTGGCAATAGTATGGTAATTTCTTTCAGTTAAAAAATGAACATTGCACATTATAAATATTCTTTACTTGAGGAGAGCAATTTTGAGGATACGTATTGGTTTTTTTAAAAAAAATAATAATTCTGTAACAATGTATTGTTTTTATTATGGAACAATCAGTTTCATAAGTGCTTCGTTGTTAACCTGTGCAAACATTGCCCTGACGTTCTCTTCTGAGCTCATACACAGACTGAGCCCACTAGAAAAGGATAACCACAGGGGCAGCAATGATGGGTGGGAAGGCACAGAGTAGACACAAAACTAGGATGCTTATTGCTCCTGTCCTTGCAGGATAAAGGGGGGAGAGCCGTATCCAGATCTAATGAACCGTTGCTGCAACCGTCAGCATCAAAACTAGTTGTACCGAGACTAACTCTGATTGCAGAGTTTGTATAGAAGAGTGGTCCCCAACCTTAGGTCCCTAGTTCTTCTTGGATTACGAGTGACAGAAATCCTGGCCAGCCCAGCTAGTGGTGAAAGCTTCTGGGAGTCAAGAACACCTGGGAACCACTGGATAGATAGAACAATACAGCAGCCAAGCTCTGGAGATGGCACTGCCCTGCAAATGCTTGTTTATATATATTCAGCTTGTTCCACTTTAATCCCCACCCATCCTGGCAGGCTTCATCCATTCCTTGAGATAAGGGTGGAGTAAATGCTTGCTTGCTTCTCAAGATGGTAGGTAATAAGTAATTTGGGGTGAGGACTAGGCAGCATGCTTGCATTGTTTTTCAAGTGAGAGGGAAATGATTTCCTCTCCTGCTCCTCCTTGTTCATGTTGGAGTAAGGAGCAGGAGCATGTTTTACCCACCCTGCCCCAAGGCAAGGCCTTTAGTTCCTGCAGAGCTGGAGTGGAAGGGGAAGGCGGGGGCCCCCAAACTAATATTAAAGTGAGAGTTGAAAGGCAATACATTTTAATAGAACAACTGTTCGTTGAATACGTGTCTTGTTCCTCTGACAATAATATTATGTTGTTAAAGTAAGTATAGGCACACCTTAATTGTTCTATGGATGTTTGATTAAATGCATGGAGCTCATTAACACTGTGCTATATATTCTGTGACAGCATTATCAAAAAGATCAAAGCGAGTAAGTAGAGAAAGCTGGAACATAAAAGCAGAGCTCAGAAAAGCGACTGTGCTGGCTGGGCAATTCTGGGTGTTGCAGTTCAAAAGAAGAAAATTGTCTAAGGTATGCCTTAAGGATGCATTTCCTGTGTGAACTACTATATATTTGTGAGGAATTTGCACAACACTTAGCAGATAAAGTCATTTGGATCCGCTCTGACTTGGACACTGTAATTGATACAGACCCTGTGGATGTAACTTTGGCCCCAGTTTGTCCTGTTTTAATCTATACTTTTCAGTCAGTGCAGCCTGATGATGTGGACAGGAATCTTGGAGAGGTGAATGCCACCACATTTATTTATTTATTAGACTTCTACCCTGCCCATCTTGACCAAAGGTGCGCTGTGCGCTGGACCGTTGTTTTTCCTGGCTCATAAAAGCAGCCAGAGGAGGAATGGCCGATTGGGTACAGGGAGTGGTAAATGCCTTCTTGCTGCAGGGTAGGATTCCTGCTTGCTAAAAGGAGGCAGTAATAATACTGCTGTTGAAGAAGCCCTCCCTGGATCCCAGTGTACTGGATAAATACCGGCCAGTCTCAAACATCCCATTCCTGGGCAAGGTACTGAAGCGTGTAGTGGTTTCTCAGCTCCAGGGATTCCTGGAGGAAACGGATTGTCTAGATCCATTCCAGTCTGATAGAGACAGCTTTGGTCGCCTTGGTGGATAACCTACGCTGGGAAATAGACAGGAGGAGTGTGTCCCTGTTGGTTCTGCTGGATCTCTGAGTGGCTTTCGATACCATCAACCATGGTATCCTTCTGAGCCGTCTCTCTGGAATGGGACTCAGAGGCACTGTTTTATAGTGGCTCCAGTCCTTCCTGGAGGGGAGAACCAGGCAGGTGGCCCTGGAGGACTCTTGTTAGACACCCTGGCCACTGGCTGTGGCGTTCCTCAGGGTTCTCCTTTGTCACCCATGCTTTTTAACAGCTATGTGAAACCACTGGGGGAGGTTGTATGGAGTTTTAGGGTTCGGTGTCAGTATGCAGATGACACCCAGCTCTATCTCTCCTTTCTACCTAATTCCAGGGATGCTGTCTTGACTCTAAACCAGTGCTTGGCATCAGTAATGAGCTGGATAAGGGCAAACAAACTGAAAATTAATCCAAACAAGACAGAGGTGCTCCTGGTCATTCGGAAGGCAGATGGGAATAAAAGTATCACCTGTGCTGGATGAGGTTACACTCCCCCTGAAAACTCAGGTCTGCAGCTGGGGTGTACTCCTGGATTCATCTCTAAGCTTTGATGCCCAGGTCTTGGTGGTGGCCAGAAGTGCATTTGGACAGCTAAAGCTGGTGTGCCAGCTGTGCCCATTCCTTGAGATGTCAGATTTGGCTACAGTGACACATGCTTTAGTTACATCCCATTTGGATTACTGTAACATGCTCTTTGTGGGGAATGCCTTTGAAGATGGTTTGGAAGCTTCAGCTGGTGCAAAACTCTGCAGCCAGACTACTGACTGGAGCCAGCTACAGGGAGCATATAAGGCACCTGTTACAAGAACTGCACTGGTTACCAGTCCATTTCTGGGCCCAATTCAAAGTGCTGGTCATTCCCTATAAAGCCCTACACAGCTTGGGTCCAGGCTACCTGAAGGACCGTATCTCCCTATATGCGCCTTCTCGGCAGTTAAGATCAGCAGAGGAGACCCTTCTCTTAGTCCCATTGCCAACACAAGGATAGCTGATGGGGACACGGAAGAGGGCCTTCTCTGTGGCAGCTCCCAGGCTATGGAACGCTCTCCCTCAGGAGATCAGGATGGCCCCTTTCCTTTTTATCCTTCCGAAAAAAGCTCAAGACCCATCTCTTCAGGCAGGCTTTTAACAACTAAAACTGAATTCCTGAACCCTATTTTAACAGATAATTTTAATCTTTTCCATGTTTTGATGCTTTAATCTTTTAATTTTATCTTAAATCGTATATTGTTTAATTTGCATTTTAATATTTAACTTACTGTGTTTTTAAATTGTGTGACTTTAAATGTTGTGAGCTGCTTTGGGTCCCTTGTTGGGAAAATGTAGCATACAAAAAACACACTAACAAACAAACACCTAATACAGTAATAAGCTGCTTTGCTTTGGGTCCCTTGTTGGGAAAAATGCAGCATACCAAACAAACAAACAAACAAATAAACAAACAAACAGCCACCTAATACAGTAATAATAATAATATATTTGGAGGTTTGTTGTGTCCCAAACCTTGGTTGTGAAGAGCAGAACACATGCACGTGTGTGTGTGGTGTTCTCTCCAGCAAGTACAAGTTTCAAAGCACAAAAACAAAACTCTATACGTGGACGTGGCGCCAAAACCTTATGTTAAGTATAGTATTGCTCCTTGAATTTTGCCCAGTAAATGTAACCAAAGAGTATTATCCCTGCAGATCCAATGAGAAGATGGCAGGATGTTTAGATCTTTGCACATATATGTGCAGGAACCATTGTACCAGGATAGCTACTGTGATCTGAACTACTGACTGGAGCTAGCTATAGGGAGCATATAAGGCACTTCAGTTACAGTGGTGCCTCGCTTTATGGCGATAATGCATTCCGTTAAAATCGCTGTTAAGTGAAATCGTCATCAAGCAAAATTTAATAACCCATTGAAATGCATTGAAAACCATTCAGTGCATTCCAATGGGCGAAATACCTCGTTGTGCAGTGAAGTTCCTCCATAGGGCGAGGAATCTGTCCCTAACACAGCGGGGAGCCATTTTGCACTGCAGGAGGCCATTTTGAACCCCGACGATCAGCTGTTTTTAGATCGTCATAATGCGAAGAATCGGTTCCCGAAGCAGGGAACCGATCGTCGTGAAGCAAATTTTCCCCATAGGAACATAGTTAAAAACCCATCGTAAAGCAGATTTGTCATTTAACGAGGTAATCGTTAAGCGAGGCACCACTGTATAGGCATAATTCAGCAATTATGCTTCCTCATTTGCAGGGCATAGTTCAGGAGATAGAAGGCTGCTGACCATACTGTCCTAATCCCAGAGCAGGGACAGATTGATGAGTAATGGTTTTGGGCAGGGCTTCCCTTGCCCGTGCACACATTTATTTCCTGGTGGAGTGATGTTGAGTTGCAACAGGACAGGAGGAAGGCTCTGTGTGTATTTTTGGAGGCACATTAGTGCTTGCCACTTTGCCAGTTGCTGTTATTCGCTTGTTTCTCATTTAACAACTAGCAGGAGTAGGCAATTTGTGGTCTAGCAGTTATTATTCAGTTTCAGCTCCCCATCATCCTTCACCATTGGCTATACTGGCTAGGGCTTTTAGAAGTTTCTGTCCAACAATATCTAGAGTGTGAAGTTACCCACACCTGGTGGCCACCCTCATTACACTCAGGTTGTCCTAACAGAAAAGGCCCGGCGACTGGTGTGTTCCTAAGATCCTGGAGTCCTGCCTTTCAAAGGGATAAGCAGCACTAAGTTCAAGATGACCCTGGGATCGGACTTAGTTTGGTGTCCTGCGTTATACTGTCTGAGGCTTCTCACTTTTGTAAGAACACATTGCTCATCACTTTCCCCTTTTCAGCATCTAAATCACACTGGAAAAGTGGTAGGGTTTGCTGGCAGTTTACATGGAGCCACCAGTTATGACTGTATTTGAAGCAAGGAGATTTGCAATTCATCCGGCTGAGAGGCAGTTCCCACAAGAGCAGCAAAGAGCAACCTCCCAGCTGCCATTTCACTGCTGAAGGCCAAAGGGGGCTGTCGTTTGAAGTTCTCTCATGATAGAGAGGACACTGTGAGAAGCAAGCCCTGCTGGACAGCCTCTCAGCGTGGCCCCACCCAGAGCATTTGGGGACAGGCCTTTCTCCAGCCAAGAACTGGACGATGGGACGTGTGCTTGATACCCATGCTTGGCAGGAAGTCCTTTCTTCTTCCGACCCCATCCTGTGGTTGTCAGGACCTGCCTTTTGAGCAGGAAATGCAGTAGCAAAGGAATAACAATTCCTCTGTGGGGTGCCGTGCTTGACAAGGGCAGGGGTGTTCGAGCAGCTTTCTCCGTCACAGCATGGACTGTCCCTCCACAACAGAATATACTTGCATTTATCCAATTTCTACAGGCACCTGCAGTCCGCTGCAGATCTAGGCAGGGCTAAGATACTTCTGAAGTCAGAAATTGTAGCAGGAGGGCAGTGGGAGCCAGCCTGTCTGGATCTCATTCTGTGGCTCTACTAGAGATTGATTCTAGCATTTGCTCTTCGGTTAAGCGGAGCTTGGGGTTTATTATTATTTTTAACTACAATTCCCAGAATCCCTCAGCCAACATTTGGCTGGTCACTTTTCCCCATAATTTCTAGTTTTCTAGAATATGGGAAGTCAGGAGACGGTTTCTTACCGAGCAGGTCTTGATTGGAAAAGTTAGTTCATGGGACTCCTGGAATCATGGGATCATAGCCACTGGCATGGCTGGTAAGGGGAGGAATCCCGAACTTTCCCAAGCTTTGTTACTGAGTGACTGTGTGGAATGTCATGTTCTCATTTCTGTCTTCCATGGTGAAAGGACCTAGTGCTTTCTTTTTCATAATGAAAGTTCAGTATTTGCAGAATGGGCCAGAGGTATCCCAGAGAGAAGACTGTATAGCTTCCCTCCTTCCATAAGTTGTGAACCTTTTGGACAATGAAAGCTGAGACACCAAAGAGGAATACACCAGACGCACAACTGACTTGCCTATTCCCATGCTTGCCAGCTATCTGTTGTGATGCCTTTCTCTGCTTATTCTTTGTTGTTAGCTCCTAACCTTGTTTCTTTGTGTCTTTGTGTTCATCCTCTCCAGGTTTCACCACATGGTCCTGCAGTCCCTCTGCCCTGAATGGACACAGATCTGGGTATAATCCTGTCCCAATGTTTTCCAGCCCAGACGTCCCTGGCTGGCCCCCAGTGTAACCCATCCTGGGCAGGAGTGGCCAAGCCATGGGGAACATTTACACGTCCTATTTTGACACGTCCAAGATTGTGGAGCACTATAACTACACCAAAGATAAGCTGGAGAAAGATGAGCCTTCCTCACTTCCACTCACCGCCATTGCCATCATTGTGCTTTGCTGCTTCATTATCTTGGAGAACCTGTTAGTGCTGGTGGCGGTTTGGAGGAACAAGAAGTTCCACTCAGCCATGTTCATCTTCATCGGCAACCTGGCCTTCTCGGACCTGCTGGCAGGTGCAGCTTTCATCGCCAATGTGGTCCTCTCAGGCCCTGCCACCTTCCGCCTCACTCCCATCCAGTGGTTTGTGCGAGAGGGCACAGCTTTTGCCACACTGGCAGCCTCTGTCTTCAGCCTGTTGGCTATCGCCATAGAGCGCCACGTGGCCATCACCAAGGTGAAGGTCTACAGCAGTGACAAGAACTGCCGGATGGTGCTCCTGATCGGGGCCTGCTGGGTCATCTCGGCAGCCATTGGGGGACTCCCCATCCTGGGCTGGAACTGCATGCATGACTTGGACAAGTGCTCCACCGTCCTACCCCTTTACTCCAAACAGTACATCCTCTTTGTGGTGTTGATTTTCACCATCATCCTCTTCTCCATCGTGATCCTGTATGTCCGGATCTACCGCATTGTCCGCTCCAGCCACGCTGAGATAGCTGGTTCTCAGACGATGGCCTTACTCCGGACGGTCACGTTTGTCCTGGGAGCTTTCATTATGTGCTGGCTGCCAGCCTTCATCATCCTTTTGGTGGATGCCTCCTGCGCCAGGAAGTCTTGCGCCATCCTTTACCAGGCGAAATACTTCTTTGCCTTTGCCACCCTCAACTCAGCCATCAACCCCATCATCTACACGCTCCGCAGCAAGGACATGAGGAAGGAGTTCCTGCGGGTGCTTTGCTGCTGGGGAATGATGGGGCAGGGGAAGCCGGCCGAGCGCTGCATGATTCCCCTCCGCAGCTCCAGCTCCTTGGACCGCTGCACCCAAAAGCAGGACCTGCCCACCTCACCCTTCATGAAGGAGCATTCCACGTTTGTGTGAGAGAAGACATAAGGAGAGGAAGCGACGAAGGTGGAAAAGAGGGGTGGGGGTGGGTTGGACCCCAAGAGGCGGTACAAAGGTGATGAGGGACATGGTGTGGAAAGGTCTTCCTGGTGACCAAATCACCCTGGTGTGATGTGGAGGGGCACGTTTGTTCACTAGACCTGCACAGTATTATAACTTCCTGTTAGATGTGTGTGAGATAATCTTTTGACCGACCGACCGACCGACTGACTGACTGACTTGATGTGTGAGAATTGGCTAGCTGCTGAGCTCTTGATTTGGTACGATTCTTCCTTTTTCTAAAAGGGGCCCTGACTCTCTGTACACTCACATTTTCTTTTGTTCTAGACATCAGTGGCACAATTCCATGTTTCCCTTCTTAACAAAGCCTCGGCCTCCTCTTTCAAGGGATGCAGCCCCATCTGCTTGGTGCTCTGTCTATGTTGTATGTCTGCAGTCTTGGCCCTGGGTCGAATGTGCCCTTGGATGGGTGCCTAAGGCGTCACAAACAAGTAGAGGGCTTCCTAGAGGCTGAAGACTGCCCTAAGACCATAGAGTACTCTGATGCAAACCACTTTTGTTTACCTTGCTCTCCTGCTTTTGGCTCTATTCAAACTAGTTTTGCAGGTTTTCTGCAGATTTCAAGTAGATCCAGAACAAAGCCAGCTCCTCTGTTTATTCAGGAAAGGCAATGGCTGATTCCAAAGATGAGCAATGGAGATTTTGTTTCTATACCGTACTTTTCCATGTATAAGACGCCCCCATGTATAAGACACCCCCCCACTTTTCTAACCCAAAATTAAGAGATCTAAGTGGGGCTTAGCAAGCATAGAGGGGAAGGGAATCAAACCACTGCAGTATTGCTTTGATCTCTTAGCAAGTGTAGAGGGGAAGGGATCAAACCACTGCAGTATTGCTTTGATCCCTGCTTTCCCCTCCACCTGTGCTTGTTCTCTCCTCAGCTTACTTCCGTGTATAAGACGACCCTCAATTTTAGTCTAACGATTTTAGACAAAAGTATAGTCTTATACACGGAAAAATATGGTACTTCTGGAAGAGGCTAGTCTAGGCTCTCATGTGGGAAAAGGAAGGATCTTCAGTGTGGGTGGCTGTTTCTGGAACTCACAAAAACCTGTGGATAATGTAGGATTGCTAGGGCTTTGTGCAATCTAATGTATTCCTCTTATAGGTGCTTTGTTGGGAGGTACCTCAATATGAATAATGTTGTCCTGACTACTGTCAGGCGCAGGGTGTTTCTAGATGAGGTCTTGTTATGTCATTGTCCCAACAATAGGAAGTTGTCATAAAATGAGTCAGACCATTGGCAATTCTGCCAGGGAACAGTTGTCTAGAATTTGGGGCAGGATTTACACCCATTTAAGACTAACCAGGTCAGACCCTGCTTAGTTTCTGAAAACAGACATGATTGGTTACACTTAGGGTGGGGTGGTGCTATAACTGCTGCTTACCCAGAAGTTCCACTTGACTGTGCTCTTAAAAAAACTGAACAGAACTCTGAGGGGATGTGGACGAAACTGGCGGCTGTTGCAGAGCCACTGTGTTAAATTGCCTTGGGAGAAGTTCCATCCTGTAAGGCTTCCTACTCCCAGTTCTTCTATTCCCTGCCCTGAACATGGGGCCTGGATCCGTGCATCCTTGAGGGGGAAGGTCCTTGATGCTGTGCAATCCTAGATGAGTCTACTGAGAAGTAAGCCCCACCAAATGCAATTACATTTACACTAAATTGCAAATTAGAGAATTGGTTTGTGTGCGTTGTGTATTGTGGCATCTCTAAGACTAATCTTTTGTTTTGTTTTATTATTGTTGTTGTTGTTGTTGCATTATAACTTCTGGAACCCCCCACTAGTGTGGTCCAAAAAAAGAATAACTTTTCCCTAGCTCTGTATCCCAGGCAACAGTGCACTAGATTGCAGCCTAAGTGAACCAACTAGGCTACATTCAGTTGAGTCTTGTCTCTGGTGCCACACAGCTGTGACAATATGACAATTAACTGTGAGGGCCATACCCTAAGAAATCTTCAGATATTTAGATAGCAAGGTCCTTAGTGTTCTCTGCTATGATTCTGAGGCGAGAGGGCAGAAAATCCTAAACCCCTCCTCAGACTTGCCAATTCCAGGATTCCACAGGAGGGTGCCAGGAGGGTGAATATGTGGCCTCAAAGTGCTCTAATATGTAGTGCAGATAATAAATAACCATAGATGGGCTCATTCAAAATACCAACAATGATACAAATCTGGTGCATGAATCTTTCCTCACTATATATTTCCTCACTATACATTTTCTTATTTACTGTTCACCGCCCAGAGTAGTGCTTGCCACGAAGTAGGGTGGATCTTGTCCTCCACCCACCTTTCCATCCCCGAGGAAGGTCTCACTCAGCGGTGAGGCAAGGGAGTCTCTTTTAGCCTACCCCTAACCTTGAGGTTTATTTTGGAGATAAACTTAAGGCTGTGAGAAATCAGCTCCCACAGATCAAAAGTTAATGGGAGAAGCTGGCGAGGTTGTGATCTGTAGGTGAGGCTTCCATGGCAGGGAGCTCAACATGTTCGCCTGCTGATTGCTACCAGTTTAACTTCTCTTAGAGGGATAAGTACAGGGGCTTCTTCAAGAGGTGCACAGCTTTTGCACATATGGGGATTTCTGTTGACTCACAAGTTGGTTACGATATGTGTATTACTAGCACAATTCATTGAAAGTCGTCTTTTAGTGTTTGCCAGCCACAACTATCCCATACCTTATTTTTTTTATAAATTACCAAGTTTTACAGAAAATTGTTCTGTGGTATGACAACAGTCGGCTGTTGTTGTTTTTAAATCCTTTTAAGGCCTTATTGATTCAGAGAATATTTGGATCTGGGGAGGTGTTTAGTGTTTACAACCATTGGGCATGCTTATATATTTATTAAACTGCAAAATTACTTTTAATAAACATAAACTTTTGTACCTGTTTAATAAAGTATTTACAAGCATCATACTGCACCTACACCGGCCACCCTCATTACATTTGAGCCACCCTCAGTCAGAATTTTTGGCTATGTATCTCTTTCTTTGCAACAAGTAATTTAACAGCACATTTATGCACTGTCTGCACACACACACACACACACACCAGCTGTAAAACTGGCTAGTCATAGCTCTGTCTGGACCCATCCGCTCCAGTTTCCAAGCCAGAAGCCAATTGACCCATCACTAACTGTTAGTTTTGAAGTGGCCTTCCCAAACACAAAACTGCTTGATGCAAAAACTGGTCTGATGATGCATTTGCCTTGCAGGGGGTGGGATCCTTTTTTGGACTATAATCTCCCAGAATCCCCTAGCCGATGTGAAGCTGTAGTCTAAAAACATGCAGCTTTCCCATGCTTTGGTTGCTTCTCCTTATGGGAACACTGCCTAGTGTTCCTGTTCAGAGGAAACCTCCTCTCCTTCATCCCCTAAGCGCGCGTGTGTAGGTTTAGAGGTTGGGTTTGCACATGCAGTTTTGGGATGTGCCCTCGAGTCCAACCTGAAATACCAGTCTGTAGCCACAGGAGCCCTCTGACTTCCAGTCCCCCCTCACCTTAAAATGCAGCTAAAACCTATAGTGTGGGAACTTGAAGGCGTGTTATGGGTTTTGGAAATGGGCTCATGAGGCTGGGAGCATTGCTAAGGGAGAAGGGAGACAATGTGGAGGTGGGGGCAGTTCATTAAAGGAAAGAGCCTGGAATGGGTGTGTTTCCTGCCGGCATCACTGCCCCATCTGGAAGCATGATTCACCCAGCGTGATGTGTAAGAACATGCTGTTTACAGCAAGAGGGAGATTATTTCTTTCTTTTTTTTAAAGAATGGGAATTAGATGCAGGCTTGGGAATCGTGTTCCCCCACCCCACTCCCCAGCACACACAGGGTTGCCCATACCTGGAAGAGGCATGCAGTTGCTTTTTATGAACCATATTGCTCCTTCTCCTTTTCCTCTTCACTCCAAAATGATGTACTTAAGGAAGAACTCCTTGCTTGAAAAACAAACAAAACCCATCCACCTCCTTTGAGAACTAATTATATGTTGCACCTCCCTTGAACATATCTGCTGGCAGTTCTAATCAAAATCTGATAACATGTAATAGTTGCCTATGGAATCTAGTTTGGGGAGGGGCTGTGATCTAAGAGATCGCTGTGTGTTGATGAATAAGTAAACATCTTGTAAAATGTCATCCATAAAGAGAATGTACAAACATGCACGCAGAATGAGTCCTGTGTCAGGGCTGTTTCCAGCTCCAGAACAATGTGAACTGAGATAGGAACAACATCAGTGAGAACCACTATATTTGCCTATGCAAATGGCTAGTAAAAGTGCACTTCGGAGCCCATGCAAATCACACTACTCTCTTACCACTCTGTCATCCAGCTTGTGTAGATCCTGGTTTTCAGGGAGAGTTTGAGCCCCAGTGTCTCTGATGTTAATATATCTTATGCACAAAGGAGTGCACAAGGCTGGCACATGGTAAAAGATCTATTATTTAAAAAGTAGGGTGTGGGGCAATGGGTGTGGTTTTTGAAAACTGCAAAACAAGGTGGGGAACAGCAGGCCCATTAGGTACCTCTGAGCTGCAACTCCCGCACACCCTTACCCATTGGCTGGTGCTTCTGGGAGCTTCAGAGGTCCAGAAACATTCAGAGGTTGGAAGGTCCCCCAAGTAGATCACAGCAAAGCGGGTGAGCTTAGAAAAAGAGAAAACCCTCAAAAGTCTTAAGCTTGTAGGAGTTCTTAAAGTCAAATAGCAGTGCAGTGTGAACCGGAGTGCAATCGTACATGCCTGCTCACAGGTAATTTGGTGAGACTTAGTGCAAAGGATGTAAAGGATTGGAACCCAAAGCACATGTGTGGGCATCCTGCTTAGCACAGCAATGGAATGCCCCTCACCCTGCTGCATACGTCCAGAAACATTCAGAGGTTGGAAGGTCTCCCAAGTAGATCACAGCAAAACAGGTGAGCTTAGAAAAAAAGAAAACCCTCAAAAGTCTTAAGCTTGTAGGAGTTCTTAAAGTCAAATAGCAGTGCAGTGTGAACCGGAGTGCAATCGTACATGCCTGCTCACAAGTAATTTGGTGAGACTTAGTGCAAAGGATATAAAGGATTGGAACCCAAAGCACACGTGCAGGCATCCTGCTTAACACAGCAATGGAATGCCCTCACCCTGCTGCATACTTGTGTGTGTACAT